ACACTTAGCACATACTTGTGAACAAGAGTGCAAATTTCTCTTCATATTTACCCAGGAGTTTTATCTTTGCTTGTGCACGTGTGTTTAGATTTGAGATAGAGGTAACTGAAGCCATTGCATCTAGAGGGTGTGTACCGGCCAGCACTTCTGACCCTCCCTTCACAGGCCAGGTGTTAGAAAGGCCCATTAGGAGAAGACTGTGAATAAGGGGTCAAGCATAGGTGCATGACTCTTGTTCATGCATGTTAGCCCACCTGTATCGTCTGTGTTGAGACTAGACACAGCAGGTGTTGTGCCCCTTGTTGGTTTCTCCCACAATACTCAGAATGTCAGTGTTTGCAGATTGCGGCATTGTGGCAATGAAAAGAAGGTTCCATTGAAGCGATGTTTCCTATCAATTTCCACATCCCACACAATGAGAAATTTAACTTTGTGTTATTTTGCTTGTACATGTGTGAAAGGGGATCAAATGTCCCTAATGCCTATGCTCCATTAGGTTGGCTTTCATCCTTCTCCTCCCCTTTAGGCAGTAAGAATACAAGCAATGAACAGATCCTTTCTTCAGGTACACTATTTATTTAGAATGGCAACAAACAGAGGGAAGGTGCATAAAACCAAGGTAGTGATCCTTGAATGATTGTGCCTTGACTGTTCAGAAAAGCTACTAGCGATATAAAACAGAGGGAGAATCAGATATGTTGTGAATAAATATGTAGACAGGAAAGTGAGGAAAATGGAAGGTGAAATTGGGCAATTTTCTTTCTCTGTTGCATTGACAGACATCTGTCAGAGTTTTTGCACTGTAGTAATGGAGGAAGTCAATTTTGACACCCGTAAACACAGGTCAAGTGTATCGCCTTCAGGAGGGTTACCACACGGCAGGAGCTGCTAAGACAAAGAAACGTTCTGCCAAACCAAAAAGAGCAAGGTACTCCTCTTGCCAGTCAATAAGCAGCTCTATAAAATTGGCTAGAGCTGCTTGAAAGTGTCAGTTGTGTTTATAGAGGAGTGTATGTGGTTTCTCGTCCCAGCAGCTTCGTCAACGGCAAACATGCCAAGAAATTGCTGTACGGCATTACCTAAGTGATTGAACAAATCAACCAACTAAATGATAGCTTGCTCATTGAGCTTCTTTGCTTAACAATTCCTGTTTTTCTTGCTTCTTCAAGAATGCACAGAAATTTTTGAGACAGCAATGTAAAGGTTTTGTAAACTTTTGTGTTAGCTTCCTTATAACCCCCTGGGGAAATCACAAGAGACCACAACTATGTAATATTATGTTACCACTGAGTCTGCCAAAGTCTCTGTGGAGATTATCAGAAATCATGATAAACTTTTATCGTAACGAAACAGGGAAACAGAAGTGAGAGGTGCTGACTTTAAATACTACCAGATACAAAAGTAATGTTGTTTTAAATTTGCTATTCATCGTAAAAATGTTAAAACACATTTCACCAAAGATGTAAACTACTTTTTTTTTTTTAGAATGAAAAAATTTAAAAAATGAAGACAACAAATACAGATAAGGCATTTTCCAAAATGTTCATTTCCAGGTCAAATAAAAAGACTGAATAAAAAAGTAAATTGAAAAATGTCTAGTGTGGTTCCTTAAACACCAAGTAAATGGTATTGTTCTGCATGTGGGTGGCATAGATCATAAAGAAAGCTGCAACTTTATCCAAAGATAATGTATCCCTGTCACTAACTGTTTGTTGTATGGCCTCTCTTTTTACACTGTGTACCTGTCCAATAACACTGAGCAAAAGTTATTTTCTTATACAAAGATGCCATCTTAAATCAGTCCACGAGGTGTTATCATGAATTCTAATTGTAAACATTAATTATATTGGAGGATTGACACTATAATGTCTTCATTGATGAAAAAATGATGAAATTCAGGATGGGTATCAGACATCAAAGCTTTGATGGTTTCTGGACATAATTATTCTAGTTTAATTTTATAGCTTTTTGTGTTATCAGCTTGTGAAAGCAAATTAAGCTTCACAGTTCAAATTTGTTTGACATGCAGAGTTTGTTTAAAGAGGCATAGTTAGTCCTTGAGTAAAAAATAATTATGGATTAGGTATAAGAAAGAGGGTTGTGAGTGGAATTGTAAATTATAAAAGGCCCTATTCCTATCTTATCTTAACCCCTCTGTCTCTTGTCAAGAGTTTCTTTTATATTAATTTTTCCACACATGATTATTTATTGGATTATGTTAGAGGCATTTTGTCATGATCAGTCTGTGACTACAAATAAAAAGATGTTATGCAAACTAATTTCATCCATTGAATCAGCACATTTTGTGAATGAATGCTTCATCTGAAATGTGTAACCAAAATGTCTAGATGTTCATTAAATGCTAACTCCAATCAAAAAACCTTTTTGTTTTCTGTTTTTATCTTCACAGGTGTGAGCATTTGTGCTCATATATCTTACATCTTAAGGCAGTAAATGCTCTTTTGATTGTGCTAAAGTGAAGCAAAAAGCCATTATCTGATGACTAGCTTTACAGCATTTGACAGCCAAACTCTTTCTGCATTTTGAAGCTTTTTCAGTCCTTTCCCATTTTGTTTAGTAAAGTCAGGTAAATTAGGTGTCATGAGTATTTTATTTCACTTTGTTAATGGATCTTGGTGTGGCATTCTTTGAATTGTTTTAAAATGTCTTTTAGGAGCACCCTTTATTTGATCCTTACTGGTAAAATAAAAAAAATGCTTGGTGTTTAAAGTCAAAGGTTTTTTAAAAGAAAATTTTGTCTTTTAGATACTTGCTGTAACCCTCTGTCCAACAAACCCATTGAAAACTGGACTGACAACAGACAGATTTAAATACAATGAAAAGAAAACAAATAAAATGTTGGTATACCATATTTTTCCCCTTCTTTTTCTTGCAGATAATGTTGGTACTAAATGATACTAAACTCATGATCTAGTTTCATTGTCTTAGTACCCTCTACTGGAACAATTGTAGCAGAATTAATTTGCTCCAAGTTAAAAGACTGTAACAACGTCACAGTTAATCCTCTGCCATGCCACTCAAGAAGGGTGTGCTTGGCCCACTTCAAAGAAATACAACATAACAAAGCAACCCTATGGGAGAAGTGTACCTGGCTTTTGTTTTAATAAGCTGGCTAATTAAGCTGGGTGCCAATGTTGTAGCTAGTACATGTCCACCATGAATGTCAGAATGCTGGAGTTGGAGAGGTTAGTGGTATTTCTTAATTTGCTAGAAATAGAACTTGCTTGTACCACTGGAGTCAGTCACTTAGTTCAAATTTTTTTTCCTTTTTTTCTTTTTATACTGAAGTAAAGCTTCTATAAAAAAAAATGTTGAGGTTGGTAGATTCAGTTTTGAAGAAACAGTACTTGCAGCAACTGAAAACAAGAATGTTGGCCACATAATGACTAAACAGTCATACACACCACAATATGGGCAAAATAAAGTGTCATTTAGAATGAAGTTATGATTTCTGATTGTCTTCCCCCAGCTTGAATGGTGTTGCACCATTCTGTTTAAGCTAAACATATCCCAGGCAGTTTCCCAGTCAAAGTAATGACACAATCAATTTCCTTCCATTCAGAAATTAAGCTCTTACACCATCTGCGTAAATATTCATTCTCCACACTTGAGATAATGGAGAAATCTTGAGGTAAAACACTGATCATTCCTGGGGGGAGCAATCAATATGTAATAATTCAATTAGATGCTATGGAAGCAAGTCCAGTTGGTTGATTTATTTGCAATTCTCCATTGTTCTGATTACATTGGAGTACTACTTATGGTTCAGCTTTCAATTAGGGATTTTGCTTTTTAATTTGGACTCTAGAAAAGGAGAATGGGCTCTGTTTAAAACTAATGACAGCAAGGTCAATATTGCAGACAGACAGATAAATTGCGAGGGTCCCCAAGGGGGGATTTAGAGGGCTGAGAAAAAAGTGATCTCTGCATCATCAAGTTGTAGGCGATGTCTATCACTGAGTGAAAGCCTTGGTGTCAGCATCCTCTTCTGTGTGAAGTTTGATATTAAATGATGAATTTAAAGAGTAATTTTGCATTGGACAGAATCATGTTAAAAAAGGGGGATACTGTTTTTTTTTCTTTTGTAATCTTTCAGAAGAAATATGGGATATCCTTTTTTATACCTACTGCATCTTACATGAGCATAAAGACAGAATTTGAAAAAAAAAGAATAGTAAAAAAGCATTTTACTTGAATCTGTTTTTTCTTACTTCAGTGTGATTGTTATAACAAACAAATTTTATTTGCAAATGTACAATTTAGGGAAGATCGTATTGTTGTTCATTGACTTGTTTGAGGCAGTTGTTGAATAGAAATTAGTTAAACAATATATTGATGATATTGATGGAATTCAACCAGATTAGCTTAATGACCTCATAGACAGATACAAAGTCAAATGAGAATCTATAACAGAATGACTTCACAAAATTAATTAGTGTTGAGAGAGAGAGAGAGAGAAAGAGAGAGAGTTGCCAGGACACCCACCACTGTGAACCTACTTATTATCTATATTTAGTTGTCTCTCAGTCAATGATTCAAAGTAGTAGGCATGAAACCAAGTGGCCATAACTAAACATCAACCTAAAATATGTTTCCTCTCTCTACTGAAAGTATGTTCTGAATGATGGAACAGTACAATTAACGCACCATCGGGATATGTGTATTCAGTTTCTCCTCGTGGCCTTCAAGTCATGGCTCATATTAAGTAGACAGATTTTTCTGTGAAGAAGTAGAAACACTCCTAATTTTCTTGCTTATAGCTTATTAACATAAACACGTATATATATTAAATAACAGAATAAAATTTTTTCTCCTGTATATAGTAAAAAAAAAATGTTCATTCATGAGAAAACATATAACTATAACCCATCCAGATTTAATCCACAGTCTCTTTGATGTACATATTTTTATAAGTAATAAGTATTTTTTGTAATTTGTTCATGTTTGTAATAAATTTCAACCTCATTCTCAATTACTAGATATGATGTGATGATGCTCTGTTGGCAAGAGGACATGGCCAGGCGCCCAAGTTTCACCCAACTGCGCAATACAATTGAACAGATGATGGAAAGTATGTGTTCTGACTGCTACCTTGATTTAAATATAGATTCTTCAAAAGACTACTATACCATGACTTATCCAGATGACCTTAATGATCCAAAGGGTCAAGGCCATTGTAAAGGTCAGAGTTTTACAAGCAGTGTAGCTTGTCTAGATGAAACAGTGTGCCACGAGATGAACTTTGAAATTAAAGATGATGGATTTGGTGATGTTGATGATTCTGATGATGCTGATGAGAAAAATGGGAATATGTTACACGGCTCAAATGACCATCCTCTAGATACTGTTGTGGCAAAATTTGTCAACTCTAGTCACCGACCTAGTGACAGAGTTGTTGAAGCACACTGTGAGATCACCACCAGAGACAAGCGCTTGCTTTCTGATGACTCTGCATGTGTGATGTTACACAGGGAAGATGGGAAGGATGAAGATGAAGATGCTCTGGAAGAATATGTTGACATGACAACAGACAATAGAACCTATTGGTCAGTTGCAGAAAAAAATCCAACACATGGTATCCATGGTCTTATACCAAAAGTGGCCATCAAAAATAAGTGTGGTATGTTATTTAATAAGTTTTTTGACAGTAACAGCAATGCTGAAAATAACAACAATGGACAAAGTGCCTCAGAGCAAGACACCCATATGTAGACTATTAAATAGTGTGATTTTGATATAAGAAAAAATCAGTTTAAGCACATATGGACTCATGGATTCCAAATTATTTCTTGTGGAATTGATGCAGTTCTAATGATATGATCATAGAAAAATGTGTGAAGCATTGTTTAAATTTGTATTATTATTAATCTGTACCAAGTAGGCCCCTATAGATATGTCAATTCTAACCCAATATATTATTGAGCTAGATTTTTCATTAAATTGATATAAAAAAGCCATTGGTACCTATCTATCATCAATAAATTTACTTTTCTAGATGAAAATGATTTCATGGGCTGTAAATATGATTCAGATGCCTTATTGATTAACAAAAATTAAATTTTAGATCACTTTTGTTGACTGTAAAATCATTTATTTTGCCTTGATTTGCTCTTTTTAGTTTATTTCTGATCAGTGTAAAATATGAGTTTATTCCAAACTCACTTAAAGAATGAATTTTTATCCACATTTTTGCTGGAGTGTAATGTTATAGTCTGTATGAGCATGCACTTGATGGATGTTTCTAATGGAGTCGTTTTGTCCCTGTGATACATGATAGTTTTTGTGATATGATAGCAACCTATTCATAATTTTTTAAAAACTTGCAGTTAACATTGTGAATGAGAAGGGTGTCACATGAGCCATTTAGACATAGATACATAGTGACAGCACAAGAGACAAAAAACATTCCATGTCACAAGACACATCTTTGATGTCAAGTTTTGCCAAGAAAATCAAAATCTAGTTGTGAAAAAAAATCTGAATTTAAAGATAGTAAAAAATTCTTTGGCTTGTAAAAATGTTTGCTATGATGTCGGATTTAGCTTTTTTTAGTGGTGTAGGATTTGCAAATATTTCTTGTTACACTTTTGGACATGTGAAATAGCTGTATCTGGTGGGAGAATGAAGACGCCACTTCGCTTAAGAGCCTATTGTGTCAATGTCACCAATGGAAGTGAAATTCAATGTTCTAGTAAATAAAATCAACAAAAACCGAATTCTTGCGTTCCAGCCTACGTTCTGTCAACCTTGTCAGAAAGCACTGACACTTGTGCCACGAGGCCCTGAATGTGAATATCAGTTTTAAGCGATCAGAAATCGTATCTTAATTTCTTTATTCTCTGTATATAATTTGCAAGAAACATAACCTTGACGTTCAAGTGTTTCTTTTTTTCAGAATTATGTGTCATTTACAAAATCCAAATTGTATTAAGTTTTACTTAAGGATTAGGTAACTTCTTTTGTTCTCCATCTGTCACCTAGTTTTATGTTTTCCCATCATTTTGAAAAATTCCATACCAAGAATTGAATTTGAAATGTGGTATGGAATGTAGACTTGTGTAGACTTTAAGTTCGCCGAATCTGACAAAGACACAGAAAAGAACCTCCATTGTTTTAACTAAAATGTAAAGGAAAATGTTCGACTGCTTTAATTTTGAAGGAGAAGCCTTTTAGAATGATGTACGCGTGTTTAATTTGCTTGTTATTTTGGGGGCTAGGGCAATGGTGCACTGTACCTGGTTCATTAATTGACTTCCCTGACGTTATTTTATATCTTTATCTCCAGAACGCATAATTAAATTAAGATTTTTTAATCCAAGAGACAAGTTGAATATTCATTTCAAGTATTTATTTTCATTCTTAAATCAGTCACATAAAAACCTTTGGGTTCTGATGCCATAACCGTGATATTTCGCATTTCTCTAAATGAAGCAAGCTTTTGTCACCTCTGGTTTTATAGTGGACGTGGGAGTATCCGTTTGAATTCGGACAAATATCCACATTTTTTACAAAATGCCCGTTGGAATTTTACGACCCCCGATCATGCGGATTGATAGATGAAAAAGAAAAAAAAACAGCGTATGGGGCACCNCAAGCTCTTAAATATTATTAGGCTTAGACTTGCCCTTCAAGAAATCGACGGAAAATAGCTCTTTTTCAAATTTGAATGGGGAATGTAGAAAACATATAACAGCTAAAGCTCTCAAATTAAGTACATATGTGTGATATCATGTGAAGAATAAGTTCTGTAAATTTCAATCCAAGCAGTTGAGTACATTTTGAGAAAGAACGCTTTAAATGTGCAGCAAACCGTAACGCTAATCCCTTCAAGATCTCGACGAAAACCGGAAGTGCGTCATGACGTCACTCGCTTGTACTTGGAAAGCTGCTGGGTGATTTTCCGATGAGAAATATTTTGTGGCTTATACAAATGTTCGGAAAATGACCATGCAGATAAAAGAAAATCCACTAATCAAAATTGAAACTGCGTAATTACATAGAAAAACATTGTGCATTTCTGACCTCGACTTGTCAGTGTAAACAAAGTGTACTGAACGCATCGCCAGCAAGCACGTGAATGCCGCGTTTGATACTTTGTATCAGACGCTTCATTTTACTTGACAACACAATGTTTACGATGGGCATGACAGGAAAAACAGTGCAAAAAACACGCACTTCCGGTTTTCGTCGATTTCTTGAAGGCGTCGATTTCTTGAAGGGCGAGTCTACCTATTTTACATGAAATATAGTGAAATCGAAGCCCAGTGGCAGCAGACAGGCGGAGCAGAGTGGTCGACGCAGACGTCACGTGCAGCCGTCGCGTGCAGTAGGTCTACGTCACGTAAATTTTATAGGCCAATGAAATGCTTGGAAATTGCGCACTCCCAAACGAGTGAACAAAGGTAAAAAAAAAACACTTCCGCCGAAATGAGGTAACGTTATTACAATACGCATACGCGTATTTGAAAAAAAAAAAAAGCTACTCTTAACTATTACGATGAGAAAATCGCGAATGGGTCACCGGTGGACCGGTCACCAGCTACATTACCAACGGCAATCTGCCACCAGCTAACCACCAGCAGTAGGCCCTACACCAGTGGTCCACCAGTGGCTGTTTGCTGTTTATAGCCGCAGGTGACCCACTGGTGGCATGTTATCTGGCAGGCGGGTTACTTGTCGATACGTCCCCGCACCGATACTCCCCCGCACCGGTACATCCCCACAATTACAGATATAGGCCTACTGCAGGGAAGTATCGGTGCGGGGGAGTATCGGTTCGGGGGTGTACCGCTGCGGGGATCTATCGGTGTGGGGTTGCATCGATGCGCATTAGGCCTATACAAAAAATTACTAAAGGGGATTATCGGTGCGGGGGGTATCTACATGACCGCTGGAGGCTGACCTGGGGTGCATTTGACCACGTGAGGGTGTTAGATGAGTTGAGAGGAGATTACGTTCGTGCTTGTTTTGTGCTTGTTTGTTTTGTTCTTCAAGTCCGACCTGAGTCCGATGTCCATTTTTTTTTCACCACAGCCAGGTCAAGTTCACCAAAAATTCCAGCAAAATTTCGGCCCGCCTCTTTCTCTCTTATCTTATAGGTGGAAATATGGGGATATTGTAGTGGGCTATTTAACAGATACATGTACGTCGAGGAGACACACTTTTTACAAATTTTTGTAAAAGCAAAAAAGAAAAGTATCAAAAATATTAATGTAACAGATGTCCTGACCTGTAGTGTCCTTTTCTCCCAAATGTAATGTATACCACACGGCTGGAGAGTTTATTTTTGAAAGCGGAGGTAGGAGTTATAAGGCAAAATACACACACGTTTTCTCTTTCTTTCTCTCTCTCTCTCTCTCTCTCTCTCTCTCTCTGATCATTCAATAGCTTTTCGGCTTTAGTTCCTTAACTCATTTTTTCATTTCTATATGAGATTATATGTTTTAAAAAAGAAAAGAAAAGTCGGGATATATTTAACAGATAGGTCTAGGAGACAGTATTTTTACAAATCTTTGTAAGAATGAAAAAGGACAGTATCAAAATATTAACGCAAAAGATGTCTTGGCCTGCTGTGCCGTTTTCTCCTAAATGTAGCTGATTCCAGATGGGTGAAGAGATCATTATTCACTTGTTACTGTAGATTACGTATATAACGTAATTAAGAAACGTATAATTACATTTATGCTTGTATGCCTGATATCACATAAGTGTGATAATAGGTCTAGATATATATTACATGCATGTATAACACAAGTAGTTTAGAGGGCCTACAAAATGTGCTGAAACAATTTAGTGCTCAATAAATTATTATCATTATTATTATCATTAGGCCTATATAGAAAGCGAAGGCAGGAGTTGACAGGGATGCATGCCCCCCTTTCCCGCGGATCCAGGATTCATTGAAACTGTGTAGGTAAAAAGAAAAAATAGAAATATATCGCATAATCCATAAAAAATACAATTGTAAACCCTGACGAAGGTGGTTTTTTCATCTTTGCACCGAAAACACAATGTCCTCTAAAAACTACTCTCTGCGCCATCTATTAACAACTGGGGCCGTATTCTCGAAAGGTTGTAACTTACAAATTCTTGTAACTTTTCACGTAAGTCCGATCGTTCTTGTCAGTTGGTATTCTCGAAGTTTTGTAAGTTACAAACTCTTGTAAATATGCACGTAAATTTACAACTGCCTCCGACTTGTTGTAAGTCGCTACGAAAAGATGTACGCATGCATGCGTATTCGGGGAGAGAATGTAGTCTGCGGGATTTTTATGCTCGTGTTAATTGTTGGATATTTTTGACAGCAAGTAAAATGATTAAACCATGGATGTATTGTTATCAGCGAGAAGGGTTAGCCTTTCGGATATTTCATGTTAGTTGCCTAAAGTTAACGATTTAGATGAGAATAATTCGTTTAGATCGCGTTTCGTCGATCGCGCAATGGCAACATTGCAGTTTGGTAGGGTGTCCGAATTTTTAAATTAAAACGAAAACTTGTATTTTTTAAAGAACGCGAAAGAACTATTCCTTACGAAAGGGGGTGGGCATGAAAAAAGCAAGAACATATTTGGGTTAAACAATAGTGGCGACGTGACTTTTGAAAAAAAAAACTCTTCTTGCTCTTGTCATCTTTATGTGTGCAGTAGGCCTGTGACATATGCATGCCTCCATGCCGGATTAGCTATTGACTCCATTCAAGTTTGATCTGTGGCGTAGCTGGTAAAGGATAGAGAACTATGACCATCCCCGCCTGAACATCATTTTAAAGACTTTAAAAATGAAGAGAAAGGAATACTTGTGAAACTATAATACCGATGTCATCAGGCACCATTCCAAAGAATCTAAATCAATCTAAATAGTAAAGTTTAATATTCTAAAGCAAAATTTGAAAAGAAAGGAAAACTTTAAGATAATGACCAGTAATAATTTTGTTGTCAAATCGATCACTTATTCTAAACCATCGGCTTTTTTCTCGTGACTTCTCGATTGCAGGGCCAGGTCGTTGCTGTAACGGACTGTTTTTTCCTGCACCCGTGCACGCCAACGACAGCACTGTGCCTGACCCACCCGCCCACCTAATATACGTTTTACTTCTAAATACAATTTTCAGAAAAAAAAAATCTATAAAAAATACTGCATAAAAACCCGCGAACAGAGTTCAGTAAGTGGCGAAAGAGACACAGCTATGTCTTTTTCGGCTCTCAAAGCTCTGTAGTAAAAGACGAACTCAGCATAGGCCTTGTCGTTTTCGCATGTAAAGGGGCGTCTACAAGACGCACCCGTAGGCTGCCATGGGCCATGGGGATTCTCACTCAATTGCAATTAACTTAAGTGGCTTAAATGTCTGTCACGCCTACTGAAGCTGATAGGGGGTAATTAACTATCGTTTAGCAGCAATTTAGCGAGAAACCCCGTGGAAATG